CCAGCGCTCTTAGCAAGAACATAGTAAAACAGAATATTTTACTCATCTCGTTCTTCAGTATTTCGACTTTTGACACAGACACTCACCACACTAGACCTTCGACGCAATAATATCGGAGATGCAGGAGCACGACATTTTATCCATGCTCTTAGAAATAACATGGTAAAACAGCATTTTCCACTCATCTCATTCTTAACAACTTGCACTTTTCACTCAGACACTCATCACACGCAGTCTTCCGTGGGATATAACGACAACGCAGCGGTATAACATATACTAAATGCTCTCATGAACAACATGGGAAAGCACCATTTTCTATTCATTTCGCTCTTCATTGCGTGAACTTCTTATACGGACACTTACCAGTGTCGAGCTGTGAAACAATAAAATCGAAGAACAAATAAGGAATGACGCAGCTGAAGTTTTGAGCATCAATGAGACGTGCTGAAAGTCTTTTTGTGATTAGCTTTCGTTTCACTTTCAGACGTCCGTATTTCGATGTTTCTTTCGGAGTTTTATTTGTAGATGACGTGCAAATTCTTAATGATGAAGATTGCGATGACCATAAAGTGACTTATTTCTATTTTTTGGTGAAATGAAAACGAAATGATTGCTGATGACAGATACAAGCATGAAGTTGAATTAAGAGCAAAATAAACGATTTATGCATGAACTAGTAAAGATAACCTACAGGTTAAAATCACTTTTCGACTCAATACTCCTTCGATGTACAACCTTTGCCATAGAATATTGGGACCCAGTAATATCAACTGTAATGAAAACAGATACCTTCAAACTGTGTTTTGTGAAGAATTAAAAAAAAATGAATAATCATAGGCTTCAACGAAGATTGTTAGATTGATTATCTCGATATCAAATGAGATTCCCTATGATGAGATAGAGTTTATGAGATATGTATCGGGCTTCGAAGAAAATTGGGCTGTTCTATCAGAGGAGTCATCATTGAAAAATCAGAATTTCAGCATTATTCAATATACACTCTGCCATTATGATTATTGTGATACTCAAAATCACGAGTGTTATGATTGTAACAATTCTCAATGAAAACTCGAACATTAAGGACAACACGATGACGACCAAGGTCATAGTTTTCGACTATCAGAGAAATATTGATTTCAGCATAAGAAATTGAACAACATATTTTTATTGCTGATCAAAGGAAAGAGATGAAGCTCAACTTTCATTCGTGTATTGATTTCTATGATACTTTAAATAAATAAATGTCTATAAATAACTGACGTTATATTTTAAACATGTCCAAAACACTGCTTTATATGAATTGCAAAAAAATTTAAAGAACAAATAAAACAAATCTGGTTACAATAGTGCACTGATGAAAAAGTTTGACAAAATTTCTGTTGTAAAACCAATAGCACTGAATATATAAACTGAACTTTATTAGTCGAGTGTGACATATTCAAAATCAGTGTTTTTCTTTATCAACATAAAAGTCAATTTCTATATTACGAAAAAAATTTTTTTGCGACATAAATCACTATTGTATATCAAATTACATTTTATATTTCTCTATTACTTCACTTAATATATGTTTATCTCTAGATGCACCTATATATACATCTCTATCTCATCAGTCTAGGCCGAAGTGACTTGAGTTTCAATGAGCGCTACTTGTTAGTTTTGAATGCAGTGATAGCTAATACCTCCTGATTTTATCGAAAATAAATCAGTCACACCTTATGACACATTATCTGATGAGTTAACGAAAGAACTTTGTTTCATGCCGTTCAAATCATTGTTGAGTAAGTTTTGGAGATCAACTGTCATTGTCTAAATCAATCAAATGAACCAAAAGTGATCCGTCAACCATAATCATTTCACTCATAATTCTTTACAAACCATCTTGAACGAATCAGAAAGCAAAGAATGACGTATGTAATGCTTCTGTGTGCTAGTGAAAAGATACACTCTCATAACGATACTTTCAAATACCATGGCTTATAAAATATCCACATTATATCATCATCATTTCATTCTCGAGAATGCGTAACATGTGATTGCGAATTATTTGAGATACACAAATAAAGCCTGGTGAATTTAAAGAAATTCCGAATCAATTTATTGATCGTAACCAATGCCGACATTTGCTTTACTGTAGACTACCATCATTTTTTTTCCTTCTAAATGAATACAGCAATTTGAATCATCTGCCAATAGTTAGAACTATTGGCTCTTTACCGTCAAACTATACTTATAAATCTCGATGCTTTTGGTACGACCTAAGTAGATTAAATCTTCAATATTTAAACAAATATAGAAGTTTTCAATATCTGTATTCTTATGATTCTATCATGATTTTATACTTAGCAGACTTCAACTTTATGTTTACTAAAATGTTTTTTTTAAGTTTTAATTTCATTTGTGATGTAAGGATGTTTTCCATTGATCTTTTTTCTTCAACATGATGATGAATGTTGTCAATGAATGATTTCATTTAGGATATGATATTTTAACAATCAACAGTTTACTATATTTGGAGATAGTATACATACATTAATGAATTTCTTAAATCGCATGAGTCTATATCACATATGAATCACTCATCGCATGGTCAGATATAAACATGATAGGAATGAAGGCAGTGTTCTCCTTTTATTGAACCTTCTTTTTTCATATGGTAGGAAAATTTTTACAAAAAGAAATTGGAAGAACTTTTCTCTCTAAAACTGAAATTTATCACCGAATAGTACCAATTCTTTGTTGTTCATTATCATAGTTACATTTGTGATATGAATGCTGAATGATTTGCTGAAATTTCAACATGATAAAATGGCGATTGTCAAAGTTTAGAATTATCATTTCGAAATAAATATGAGATAAGAAATCAAAGTTGGAGCTATCAAATCATAACAACCTATCTTCATTAACTATTATCTATAATATAGAGTGTAACGATCTTTGATAAAAGAAATGCCCGTGCAGATGCAATTACACTTTATTATATTCTTTCATATCATACAATCGTACACACACCCACACTTACACCCTTTATACCTCGGTACGAGGACAACGAAGAGAACATTAAAAAAGGAGACAGGAAGTCAAGGAGAAAGAAGAACAATATGGTAAGGATAGAGAAGAACGGCGCAGAAAGGTAAGGACAATGCATATGGTGAAAAGGAAGGGTAGGGTATCGTATATACTGAGAAGAAGTGACAAGGTAAAGCAAATGGTTCATTTAACCAAGAAATAAAGGCAGAGAGTATCACGTCACCAACTTAACCGGAGATATCACATTGAGGATACGGTCAACTATGATGCCACTTTAATATTTATCAAATGGAAAATAGCAAAGGCTACTACCAAATTACGGCCAAAACTTTCGTCCTCATCCACACTGTCGGCTTTTTGATTTGTTTGATCTTTGACCGCAATTTGGAAAGCTACGATGAATACTACGTTTTGTTCGCTTGTGAATATAATTAACAACATATGTTCATCGTGTGTTGATTCACTTGTATATATCTAACGAAATGAATAAGTGGATGTATTATTTTCACAAGTACAATAAAAAATTAATTGGATCAAAGTTTTCACCAAAATGTGACTTTTGTCAATCATAATTATATGTTCAAAGTGATTTATCAATCTTTAGTCATTAATAAATGACGTATTTATTTTATACAGATTTGAATTATTAATGAAGCTGCATTGGAAAACTTAAATCATATAAAATTGAAGATTGTGTCCCAGGAAATAGAATGATAAAAGAAAAATCTTTGTCAATATAAAAGATTGAATAATAATTAATTATTTTTCAGAATTTTTGCGATAAATTGTGAATGTAATAGTTATGTTTTACCTTAAAATGTCTAAAAATAATGCTTAAGACTAATGCGATATTTTATTTTAAGAATCTTCTATGATCCAATGCTAGTATAATGACAAAGTTTCATTTTCTCACTTTGTTCTAAGCCAACACCAATGACAGATTCTATTAAAGAATCATATTTATGTATATCAAATACATTGTATTTTCTTTATGCTAGATTAATATTTGCCTTTATGGATGACTTTTTCAAGCTATAACTGGCTAAAACATTTCTGCAATGAACAATAAATATATAAAGCAGACGATAATATTGTCGTCACCTTAAAAAAAAACTCTCTTTATATTCAACAAGATGTCTTTGTCTAGCTTTCTTTATTCATCAACAATTATAAAATGATCATCATTTAGTCTTTCTAATTCTATTCCTACTGAATCTTCTCAATCATCAATTTTTAATAACATTTTTTCATTAACTACCGATATACTGATACATCATCATATACAAAACAGTATATATTCGAACGGATAAAATTTGTTTTTTGACACAGTAACCGTCAACATATGCAGTTATTAAAAATGAAAAAACAAACGCATCTTTACAATGGACATTTTAGTTTTGGTTTTCTAACTGAAAAAAATCAGAAAATATTGGTGAATTCGAGACAATTGAAGATTTTTGAAGTTGTCAAAAATGTTACCGAACATTTGTTTATACATCAACTATTCGTACTCAAAATATTCTTGTTTATTAATGTGTTAATAATTTATACAACACAATTAGATGAATAACCCATGGGTCAACTTTCTTCATCGTAACCAGAAAAATATTTTTCATAGGTTATTTTTGTCAAAAACCAGACATTATCAACCAAAGATTTAGTAAAAGTTTGTCATAATGTGAGATTTGCCACGATCTCTTAATATTTCATATAGATGCCGTTAGTATGTAGTCCTTCAGCTAATAATTACTTACTATACAGAAATTTATTTTAAACAAACAACATATTGACAGCCTATCCATTCTGATAACTTCAAAGAATAAGATGATCGATCATCGACAAGAAAGGCAGAGGTCGCTTTTAACATTTATTGGGTCGGTGTTTAATCCAATAATTGGTTTACAAAGAATCAGAATATTAATTGAATTGACGTGTGAAAATTATTATACATTCATTTACAATTAATAATAATGTTGTTCTTTCAAGTAATCTTCACAATCGTATCGTGCATTTCGTTAATAAATACTATCTTAGATGATGATATTCTATATGATATTAAATGGCAACCAGAATTACATTCCGTATGTTTTTTTTTTAGAAAAAAATAGTAAAAATCATTTGAATAAATTAATTGATTATTTTTAGCCAATTGAATTGAAAAATAATTTTATTATTACATCAAAACGAAAAGAAAAATATTCATGTGTCTTACCAACACTTCAAACAACAGATACAGTAAAGAAGAAAAAAATATATATTTAAACGTAAAGTTCGTATTTCAAGATATTCCCCCTCTTTTTTTAGAGATCAACAGAAACTATTTTATTAAGTGAAATCGAACCATTAATAGAAAAATTACATGCTAAAAACCTATGTACTTATCGAGTAAGTTTTTATTTAACAGAATATCGGAATACTTTATGAAACAATATATATATATATATAGTTAGATCCATATTGGACGTATGAATTATGTCATGGTATACATATTCGACAATATCACGAAAGTAAAGTAGCTGATAAAGTAAGATCAACTCATTTTATTATATTTTTAAAGAAAATATGTATAAGTAGAGAACAATCCTTCAAGAATATTTTCTCGGTTATTATCATTCAAATAATCAGGATATAATTACGAATACTGACAATCAACAAGTATTAAAGGTAAGACAAGGAAATTTTGATTTCGTAATAATTAGTAAAATAACTTAAATAGATTCATTATAAAACTGTTAATAATCAAATAATACCAATGTTACCGATTCGATATACAGATGGAACAAAATGTGATATTAATTCAAATCAACCACGTGAAACACTTGTTTTCTATGGTAAAATTTTATTTTTTTATTTCGTATTTATTTTTGTGTACTCAAAAAGTGAGTACACTCTAGAATCGGTCAGTGTGTCCGGCCGGCCGGCCGTTAACACGATAACTTTTGAAAGGAGAGTCCAATCGTGATGAAATTTTCTACACAGTTCAGTCTTAACAATGTCTCGGTCGAGTTCGAAGATGAGCAGGATCCGTCAAGAAATGGCTGAGTTATCGAAAAAATTGTCATTATTGAGAAGATCATCCCT